AATGGACGCTGATTCACTCCTGTTCCTTCTCTTCCCTCTCTCCATCTTCACAACTCCATTCTTCGCAATGCTCCGTTCCTTCGCTGCTTGAACGTCTTCCAATGCCCCACACGTTGACTTTTCTAACCCCTCTAGTCGTAGGTGCCCTTCCTATGGATTCCTGGTATTTTCTTCATTGCCAATCATGGCCTATTTACAGTGGAATATCCATGGCCTCTGGGTAATCGGGGTTGAGCTTCAGATGTTGCTTTCCAGGTTTTCCCCTGTTGGTGGCTTGCTTACAAGAACCAAAATTACACTCAGCTGTTTTCCAACCTATCTCAGGCTATAATTTATTGTATTCTTCGGATCCTTTCTCAGATGGGACCTTTAATGAAAGTGCCCTTCTTCTATGCAGTGATATTCCGTACTGTCAACTATTTGTTCATACCTCGCTGCATTACACTGCAGCCCATATCCACTTGAGTAAGTGGTTTACAATATTTCTTTATATCTCTCTCCTTCTCGAGCATTTTCTATCCCAGATTTTGCCTTTCTAGTTTCATCTTTACCACCACCACTTCTGTTACTTGGTGATTTTAACGCCCACATTTCCTCTGGGGGGGGGGTCTCATTGTGACTCACGTGGCATCCAGTTGGAGGCTTTCCTCGCCTCTCACCCCCTCCATGTTCTAAATATGGGTACTCCCACCCATTTGATCCTCGTACTCATATCTCTCTCTTGCATCAATCTATCAGTTTGCTCTGCCTCCACTGCACTAGACTTCACCTGGTCTGTTCTACCGGACTTACATGACAGCGATCATTTTCCAATCATTCTTACTTCATATTCACCACCTTTCCGTAGCCCTCGCTGGCAATTTGAAAGGGCAAATTGGGACCTTTACTCGCAACTCACTGCTTTTAGTGAGGTTCCTTCTTCATCCTCCATTGATGAGCTCCTACACCTCTTCTCGACGTCAGTTTATACCGCAGCTTCTCATTCTATACCCCCAAACCTCAGGCAGGCATTCTCAGAAGTGCAGTGCCTTGGTGGTCTCCTGTCTTGTGCTCGTGCAGCACGTTTGAAACGCACTGCATGGGGCAGGTACCGATACAATAGAACCAATGAGAGACTTCTTGTTTTTAAGCAGAAGCGTGCGATCGCTCGCCGTGTCATCCGTGATGCTAAACGCACTTGCTGGCGAGACTATGTTTCTACCATCGCCTCTGCTTCCTCTATGTAGTGCAGTCTGGAAAAAAGTGAGGAAATTGAGTGGTAAATACTCTCCTGACCCTGCTCCTGTTCTACGGGTCGCCGGTATTGATGTAGCAAACCCTCTTGACGTTGCCATTGAAATTGGCACCATCTGGTCTGTATTTCCGGGGGCTCCATCTATGCTCTCGTTTTTTTCCCTCAAAGTCTGCCAGAGAGTTAGTACCCTTGGACTTTTCATCTCTCAGAGAAGAACAGTATAATGTGCCTTTTACACTTTAGGAACTGGAGGCAACACTCTCAACTTGCCGATCATTGGCAGCTGGGCCTGACGACATTCATATTCGTATGTTACAACACTTACATCAGTCAGCCCTTGTAGTCTCTTACACTCTTCATCTTATTTGGGCACAAGTTCTTCCCCAGCTGTGGAAATCTGCCATTGTTCTCCCTTTCTGCAAGTTGAGTACTACAGGACATGATGCCTCCCGCTTATCGTCCCATCGCTTTACTAGTGCAGTTTGCAAAGTGACGGAACGTCTGGTAAATCGACGTTTAATGTGGTATTTAGAGACACACAACAGTCTCTCCACTAGTCAGTATAGCTTTCGTAAGGGCCATTCACCATAGACCCTTACTATGCTTGGATACGTATGTTCGTAATGCCTTTGCGAATAATCACTCAGTTATTGCATATTTTTTGACCTTGAGAAGGCATATGGCACAACTTGGAGGTATAATATTTTGGCCCAAGCCCACTCTTAGGCCTCCGAGGCAATCTACCATCCTTCCTTAAGAGCTTTTTAACTGACAGACGCTTCCGTGTTCGAGTCAATAATGTGCTTTCCCCGGACTTCGTCCAAGCTGAAGGTGTCCCTCAGGGATGTGTTCTGAGCACAACACTTTCTCCTTGCTATAATGATTTGGCCTCTGTTCTTCCACCCAATATTTGGTCATCACTCTATGTTGATGACTTCGCTATTGCTTGTACAGGCGCTGACTGTCATCTCATTGCAGTTTCTCTCCAGCATGCAGTCGACCGTGTTTCCACTTGGGCCACCACGCATGGGTTTAAATTTTCCAGTACCAAAACTCACCAAATTACTTTCACTAGACACTCTGTCATCTCGATATTCCTTTGTATCTCTATGGCTCCCGTATCCCGAACGTGATACAGTCAGGTTTCTAGGCCTTCTCTTTGACCGTAGGTTATCCTGGAAACCTCACATTACCTCTCTAAAGGCAACTTGTCACAGCGGCTAAACCTTCTTAAAACCCTTTCTCATCTTTCCTGGGGAGCTGATTGTCGAACTCTGCTTCGCCTACATTCAGCCCTCATTTTATCGAAACTCGATTATGGTGACCAGATTTATTCAGCAGCCTCTCCTGCTACTCTCTCTAGCCTTAACACCATCCATCACCAAGGATTACGTTTATGCCTTGGTGCTTTTCGCTCTTCCCCTGTTGAGAGCCTCTATGCAGAAGCGAATGTTCCATCCTTGTCTGATCGCGGTGATGCCCATTGCCTTCGCTACTATGTACGCTCTCACGATCTCCACAATTTATAGAATGGTCACCGATATTAGTAGACATTATTTGTTCGCCACCCCTGTTTGCTCTATCCCTTTTCTCTTCGCCTACATTCGCTCTTGTCTTCCCTTCAGTTACCACCTTTATATGTTCATGTAGCATCTCACTTTTCCCTACCCCCCTGGGAAGTTCCAGCTGTTCGGGTCTGTTCTTTCTCACTCCCTTGCTCGAAAGTCCAACTGCCTACGGTGGCTTCCTGCTCTCTCTTCTTGATCACTTCCACTCTCATTCTCATGCCATCGCTGTGTACACAGATGGCTCTAAGTCTTCAGACGGCGTCGGATTCGCAGCAGTGTTTCCGGACAGTGTCGTGCGGGGGCATTTACTATCTTTGGCTAGCATTTTTACTGCTGAATTGTATGCCATTCTTGCAGCACTTATTCATATCACATCTATGCCTGTGTCATCATTCGTGGTAGTCTCAGACTCCCTTAGTGCTCTACAGGCTATACGAAAATTTGATACTTCTCGCCCCCTAGTTCTCCGTATCCAACTTTGGCTACGCCGTTTCTCTACCAAGCATAAAGTTTTTTTTTGGGTCTCTGGTCATGTCGACATACAGGGCAATGAACAGGCAGGCACTGCTGCACAGTCAGCAGTACATGACCTACCATTTCCTATAGAGGTGTTCCATTTCTGGACTATTTTGCTGCAATAGCTACCCACCTTCACACCCGTTGGCAACAATGTTGGTCAACTCTGCTCTGTAACAAACTTCATTCTGTTAAACCAAGCATAGGTTACTGGCCGTCTTCTTGTCATCAGTGCCGAGGTTGGGAGACCACTCTCTCCCACCTTCACATTGGCCACACTCGTCTTACTCATGGGTATCTCATGGAGAGGCACCCTGTTCCTCTCTGTGAGCAGTGTCAAGTTCCAGTATCGATTAGCCACATTTTGTTAGACTGCCCTCTCTATCAACGAGCACGTAGAATTTACCTCCAACGTCGTCTTCGTTCTACTACTCTCTTTACCTTCCCTTCTTGCTGATGGACCCTCATTTAATCCTGACTCTCTCATTGACTTCTTGACAACGACTGATTTACTCCACAAACTCTGATGATGATACCTTTCACACTCCCCTCAGCCCTTTCTAGCTCAATCTCTTGCTGCCCTTTACCCTTTCACCATCCACAGCCCCTCTGTTCTCCATAACGTATTACTCATCCATCTCCCTTTTGCCACCTGATGCCCTCGCTTCCTTCCTGTCCTGCAGCGTTGTATAGCCCTTGTGGCTTAGCGCTTCTTTTTGATTATAATAATAATAATAATAATGTGATCTAGTTTATATATCTCCCCTCCTGCCACTGGTGATTCCTGTGTTTACTCCATTTCATGCGCCTCTTGTTGTTTCCAAAACGTTTCAGAAACTGGCCGCTGTCTTTCTGACAGACTTAAGGAGCACAGAAGACGTGTTAACCTTGCCGACACTCTTTTCTGTCATGTTAGAAACCACAGTTATCATATTAACTGGTTCTCTTACAAAACTGTCTAGGATTTACAAGAGCCGTCTTGTTGAAACATTCCTAATATGAATTTTAGTCCTGACTTGGTCTTAGGAGATGGCCTCCTTTGTCATTACATTGCCAAAGGCTCCAAACTTAAGAACACTGGCGATATGACCTGACTTTTGTCTCCTTTCCTTTCCACATTTCCTATATTTTCATTGCCTTTCTTATGCCTTGGTGGGTTCTGTTCTATGGGAGTTTAGTCCCGCAGGGTATTTTCTCCTATGCCCGTGGAGCAGTAGCTCTCCTGCAGTGCTTCTTTGTTCTCTTGTTATTATAGACTACCCCCACTGTTGCTGCTGTTTCTTCGCAAATACTAGTCTAGCCTTAAGGGAGGGGTAGACATGTTAACACTGTTGTACTACGATGACTACTACTGCTACTCTTGTTCTACCGCTCCCTTTCCCTGCCCATTGTCATATATGTTATGATCCCCTTCCTTCTCCTTCTCTGTGCGGCTTGTTAATGGTTCAAGTCTGACTGAATTGTCGTCATAAGTTTGTCTCCTAAGTGTGGGTTATTTGTGCATTGTTCCAGTCACGGTATTGTGACTCTTTTTATTCTTTAATAATTACAATATTATGTCGCTCAGGAATATAACGCATCTGTATTCTCACCGAATCTCCTATTTTATCTTTGATATTGGTGAGAGCGACACGTATAACTTAATAGGAACTAGGACGTCCTGGTTAGTGGCATATGTTCACTAGTATTGCTAACGTCCTCGCTAATAGTAACCCCGTCCTCGCTAGTGGTAACCATGTCCTCGTGAATAGTAACCATGTCCTTGCTATCAGTTACCTCGTCCTCTTTAGTAACCACGTCCTCGTTAGTGATAACTACGTTCTGGCTAGTAGTAATCATAACCCCGTCCTCGTTAGCAACTACGTTCTGGCTAGTATTAATTAACCACGTCCTCGCTAAAGGTAACCACGTCCTCGCTATTAGTAACCAGGTTCTCGTACTCGTCGCTGAGTAACTTTAAACTTTGGCTTTCATGTTTAATAACATTTCCTGAGGCAGTAATACACGTCTAGTGTAGCGTGACGGTGCGAGGAGGAGGAAGAGGAGAGGCTGGGAATACCACATACAACTTGTGTACGACCCGCCGCTACCTTGCTGCCGGGGACACTCACCCTTGACGGGTTTTATTTTGAAAAAAAAAAAAAAATACAGTGTAGATTATACTGTCATTGTTACCCATGTTACACAGCTTTAGCAGGCTGAATTTGAAGTGTTTAAAAAAAAGTCTTTGCAGTGCAGGATATATTGTCATTGTTACCCATGACACAGCTGTCTTGAATTTCAAGTGTGTTGTAAGTACGTCAGTCTTCTAACTTTTATTTTTGTAGGTTTAACGCCTGCTGCAGAATCGTAGGCTTTTGTTTCTTCATTTTTTTAATGTCTAAAATGATTTTTTTATTTTATTATATATGAGGTAGTTTTTGTGACTACCCGAGATCAGCATATTATCCATTTTATTATTTTATTGGTGTACTGTTATCCTCATTGGGTCATACTTTGCAACTTTGGTTATCTCAGATAGGCTATCGTTGCTTTTGCACTTTGGTTTTAATAACTGGGTGTCCGCAAAGGGCTACCTTATAGCAAAGAATAAAAAGTCACGATACCGTGACTGGAACAATACACAGATAACATGTGCACCTGGGAGACTGAAAGCTATGACGTTTTGGTCCGACTTGGACTAGTTATTGGTCCAAGTCAGACGGACCGAAACGTCGTCACGAGTTTCTCCTATAACCAGGTTATTTGTGTACTTGGTAGTAGTTGCCTGAATTCTTTTTTTTTTTTTGTCATTCACACGTATGTATACGCACACGCATACATGTGTACACATACATATGCACAAGTAAAAAAATATCCGTAATCGCATACATACGCACTTTAGCAAGCATACATATGCACGCAGGGCCAACGCCCCTTGGGCCGATATATATAAAAAATGAATAAGTATATGAACATACGCGCCCCCCTTTCCATACGGACAATAATTTTTTTTTTTTTTGTATTTTGCTGCTTTAAAATCAAAACTGCCTTGTTTTCCTTTTCTTGAATAATATAATAATTTTCCGATATTAAATGCATTAAAAAACCCGGGTTGGGTTTGGAGTAAAAGCCCCACAAGTGCAAACAGTTGGGCCCGTTTTTATTGAGGTTTAAAGATGAAGATCCAAATTTTATTAGTTTTTTCCCGTTCCCCCCCTGAAAGCGACCCAGGGGTTTTTTTTATAATTTAAAACCCCCCTACTAAATGAATGGTTCACAAAAAACCTCCCCTTTTGGGCAAAATTCTTGGGCACGACCTCCCTTTCCACATTGAACAAATTTGTGACACCCCCTTTATGACTGCTGCCCCTTTCCCCTCCCTAGGTTTTTATAAGCCCCTCCCACGTATGGCGTTTTCTTTTTCAAAAAAGAGGGGACGGGACCACATGCCCTAAAGGTTAAAGGGAAATTGTTTACCTAATTCTATTTCCTGTTCTTCCCAAGTTTCCTTTTTTTGGGGATGTGAACCCACTGTGGGGCGAAACGTTTTCTTAATAAAGAAAACCCAAAAAGTTCCCAATGTGTCAAATTTTATCAACCCCCCCTACTACATGATGTATTGTAATTGTGAGGGGTAGTGATAACTGCTAATGTAAGAACCAGGGAGGGAAATTTGAAAGTGGTTGACAACTTTTTTGGTCGGGTTTCATGTTATGTCTTGATGGGGGATGTTTTACTCATAGGATAAACCCGGTGTTACGTTAGGTAACATTGTCGGAAAACCCTGGACGTGTTTTTGAGGGTTTGTTGCCCGGGGAAAACCCCACCCTTTTAAGGCAAAAAAAAACTTTTAAAAAATTCCTTTGTTTCAGCAATCATTTCATTAATTTTTAATATTTTTACTTAATCCGCGTTTACTTGTAAAATTTTTTTTCGTTTTCCCATTTTTTGGGGTTGGGGTTTAATTTTGAGTTGTCAAAAATTTTACAATAATGATTTCTTGGGCCCATTTTTTTTTTTCCCATGGAAATAAGAACTTTCACAAACAAAGAGAAACAACACGAATAAAAAATTCCCCTTTCAAATAAAATTTTGCTCCCCACGACTTGAGGTCAGGCCGGCGAGGGTCTGTTAAATCCAAGAAAACGACTGTCCTCCCTTCCATAAAAAAATTTAATATATTAACATGACTTTTCAAGAAAGGAGAGATAGAAACCCAAAAAAAGGGTACGGGGGTGTACAGTGCTTGATAGAATCAAAAAAGATCTAAATTACTGGAAAAATCCCTTTCCAAAGCACTTGATTGTACTCCAGGAACGGAGAGAGATCCCTGATAATATATACCTGGAGGGAAATTTTGAAGGCCGGGGGCCCGGGTCTACAAATGGCAATTACAACCCCCCCGGGGGGAAAAAACTTATTAAAAAAAATTTTTAAAAAATATCAGGGAGGCCTATGGAAAAAGAGAACATTTCTGCCAACATCTGTAATTCAAAAATTCAATTTTGGAAACCAGCCGGGAAATCAAAAAATATTGCGGGAAGGGGGGTAGAAGTTTTTCAAGAAAAAATTTTGGGCCCACAATTAAACTTTTTTTTGGCTTTGTTTTTACTGTTTTGTAAGACATTTGAATTAAGAAATTTTCAAAGTGCTAAAAAAAAACCCCAATAATACGTTGACCGATTTGTTTGTAGCCTTAAATGTTGGTGAGGAAAGCTTGTATTTTTTTTAATGGTCTTTTAAAGGGCCCGCCCCTTGTTGTTTTGGTCGTATTGCGGCTTTTAAGGGGGAAGGGTTGTCGCCCCTTTTGGTTTAAGTACAAAATTAGTAGCGTAAAAAGATTTCGTCGTCCCCTGGGTGTATTAGGGGGCGCCCAATAACCGACTTCAATCTCTCATCATTCTCATGGAAAAGTGGGGTTTCGAGGTGTCCATTTTTAGCTGGTCTGCAGGGGCTCTTACTTGCCAAAACCCACCCCATGCCCGGGGCCTGAAAAAAACAACGTTAAAAAACATAGGCCAAAAATAAGTTATTTAAGGCTATTTAAACCTCACCACGTTTCTTATGTATCAGCCGTTAATGCATTGCTCAGTCTTTTGTCTTCTTTAAAATTTTCATAAATTTTGGAGCTTATGACTCGCCTCATATATTAGGTAAATAGGGATTGCAATACGTTAACGCGATATTATTTGGTTAATTTTTTATTTTAAAAACAATGTTTTTTTTAAAATTACTAAGACTTGTTAACAAACCTTACATTGAAACTTTTTTTAAAAATTTTTCCCCCATCAACTTCCCCCACCAAAAACCTTTCCCCCAAAAGCCCGCCGAATCTCCCGGGCCCCCGAATCTGCCGCCCCGAATCCCCCTTTCCCCAAAATCTGCCACCACCAAATCCCCCCCGTGTTATGGTGGTTGGCATCGGGTCAAAGTGGGCCATGGCTACCCCCAAAGGCGGCCATTTCTAAACCCCACCCATCTGACGACAGAAAAACAAATTATGTGGGGTCGGAAAGGCCCGAAATTTGGTAGACGTTCCACAGGGTGGGAGGTTTGGTAATGATATTTGAATTATTTTTTTTTATTTTTTTTTTTTAAAAGAAACTATACATAAACCATAAAAAGAAAGAAAAAAAAAACAACCCCGAAAATTAGCAAATCAAAAAACCCGTGAAATGTTAGTACACACCACACAAAAAAAAAAATACTTTTAAATTTACATTGTTTAAACAAAATTCTACGGGAAAAAACCCAACCGTTTATGCAAAAAAAAAAAAAAAAAAAAAACATACCAAATTCCAAAAAAAACAGTGGGAAACCCAAAAATAAAACATATAAGGAAAAAGTTATTATATATATATATGTAATATATTTTCCCCAGGGGGATATACACACAAAACGTTTTATGTGCACATGTGTTCGTCAGAAAACAAAAGGGTTATACATAAAAATTTAATACGAAAAATGCCCTTGTAAATAAAAAAATTAAATTTTTACACCCAAATTTAATAAAAATATCCCTAAGCCCTTTGGGTTTCCCAAAAAACACCTACAAACACAAAAAAGGTAATGTTACCGATTAACATTCAATTATAATATGACCTTCCTTTTACAAATAAAAGGGATATAAAAAAACCCAAAAAATTTATTACATTTTCTTGCATAGTTAAATATTGTACCCCTTCAATTATACGTTTTAAAAAAAGACGTATGCCCCAAGGAAAAAAAGTTTACATAAAATTCGAATTTTATAAGTTTTTCCCCCTCACATATACATTAAATAAAAACCCCCTATATAAAAGGGTTCCTAAAAGTTTTAAAAAGAAAAAAAAAAATAAATTAAAAATTTTAACTCTGTGATTTCCCAAAATCATAAGTAGTGAAGGGGTTTTGAAAAACGACAAGTTGAAAAACTGAGACACCCGTGCAACACTTTGGGAACAAAGTTTCCCATGTGCCGCAAAAAGCCCCCCAAAATCTTAAAAATTTTTTAAGGTCTACTACCCCGGACCCCCCGCCCCGGGTCCCTGAAAAAAAAAACTTCACCCACATAAAACCCACCTTGCATAACCCCTCAACCCCTCATGGGAAATCCAATCACCCCAAAGGGACACACCACGAAGAGCCCAACCCTTGCCCCCTCACCCCGTCACCAAGCGGGGGTAAAAGTTCAACAGAAAGGGTCCCCGATATCCCTCGGAAAACTTTTTTAAACCCCCCGTCCCCCTATAATTGTTTGTTTTTTTCACCCCTGTCCATAAAAAAAAGCCCCCAAAATTTTTTTCCCAAAATTTGTTTCCCTCCACCCCCTCTCCCCAAGAGACATAAAAGAAATTAACTTTTAAGTATCTGTTAGC